TGAAGATGAAGGGGAGAGTGAGTGAGTGAGCAGCTGTATGGGTGCTTGGCTGCTGGCTAGGGTCAATCCACAACACCTTTTGAACTGCTTACAAGGTTTTTAGTAATTTAAACACTGAAACTCTTGAATCTCAGTTAAAGCTATCTCAACATCTACTTTTTTTGAACTATAACTTCAGAGAAAATGAAGCAAATGGCTTAATCTTTGTGATCCATTAGCTCATGTAATAGACTGAATTTTATGGTTCAAAATGGAATAAAAAGCATAAGTTTTACAGTTGAAATCTTAATCAGGTAATCTAAAGATGGTTCACCTGTTACATATGGGTGGACTTGGTTTGGTTTTATTACAAAAATAGTATATTTGAGCACTGTCCACCTTCTGTGAATATTGCAGTCTCCAACTTCATAGTCATATTCTAATTATGGGTGTCGTGTAACATGAGGTGAGTCAAGAATAAGATGTAACAAAGAACCTCCTAATGGAAATATATACTCTTTTTGTAATGTTTACATTGCCGAATAGCAAGCCTAATCTTCAGCCTGTATTACTTTTTGTGAGGGAAAGATAACTTGGAGCAAGAATATGACTGAATTCTCCATGTGTTATCGATGTCCTTCTGTATGAGTGCTTATTTTAAATAAACATATACTGCACCTTTTTTACATGCACATATTTTTTTCTGCTGTCTTCTTTTTGTGCAGAGAGAAAGAGAATGTATTTCAGAAAGCCTATGTTTTTCTTCTACCACCACATAAATAGTAGCTTCCATCACAGTCTATTGTAAAGACATAAATAGCAGCTTCTAATCCATTGCTTTGTTTGGAGTTCAAGGCCTCTTTACTCTGATCCTGGTTTCAGTATGATTAATTGAGTAGGAGGAGCTGCCTGCTCTTTCCTAGCTGGCAATGTGCCTCAGTAGTTTCAGATATACCTCTGTGAGAGTTTTATTCCTTGCTATTTGAAATATAAAGCACTTGTGTGCCAATAATTTCCATGCTTACATCTTGTCAATGAATTTTAGATCCATCTTTGTCTCTGTTGCCATCAATAACAGAAACTTAATTGATTTTATTGAGAGGAGAATTGGGTCTTCTCACTGAAGTCACTGAATTAACATTTTTTTCTCCCTATTTCATTAAAAAAAAAAGGTTTTAAAAGCTGCAGTTCTCTGTTCCACAGTGGCTTCAGTTCCTGCTAGACTGATGCTGGTGCCTAATCACATAGCTACTTATCCTTCCACTTCAGCTTTGTCTAGTAACTGTATTCTTGCAGCATCTACCATACTTGTTCCTATAGGACCAAACTCTGCAAACTTGTTAGTTATGGCTTTCTTTTAAGAGACGATGGTATTATAGCTGGCCAATAAAATACAAAGACAGTCCAAGACTCTGCCAGGTAAGTATCTTAACCACTGAACTACAAAATCAAGACTCCTTGTCCCAGGGAATCCTTGAATCACTTACTGTCCACCAGTAAAGCTTTAAAAGGAGATTTGGAAGATGATTTTTCCTCCTACTCCAAAACTGCCTTCATTGCTAGTAGGTATTACACATTCTGGTGAAATTGCATGTTTTGTTCTGGATGATGGTAAAGTGAGATATCTTCCTTCCTGGGTTAGCTTTCTAGCCGTTAGACCTTAATAGAAAAGATGAGATCCTTCATACTTTTATGGGTGTATAGGATTGGTATTCACTTTTTTTGAGAAAAATGCTTTCTTCTAGTATGAACACTCTAAAGCCATGCTTCCAACTCAGTGCAGAGGC